TAATTTCGGAAAAAGTATATTCAAATTCGGAAAAAGTAAGTTCAAATTCGGAAAAAGTGTATTCAAATTCGGAAAAAATACATTCAATTACGGAGAAAGTACTGTTATTTTTTATAGACTAATTTGAATTGATTCAGTCATTTATCTACTCAGAAAAGCAAAAAAATTTGTCCATATATTTCTCAAAGAGACTCGATTTTTAAATAATAAAAGAAAGAAAAAAATTACCAAGTCTACAGATTGTTTATTATTTTATTCTCTTAATAGTGACATGTGTTTCGCTCACATGAGCATCCTCAGACCTACAAAATAATACAGAACCAATATATGTTGAACCTAATTAAAGTACACTGATTGGAATCGAGCCCGTCTGGGTACGGGTTCGACTGGAGGTTTATAGTCACTGCTAAATTTACTTTTTATCAATTCGAATTATTCTAAAAAATAACGTTACTTTCTCTGTAATTGAATGTAGTTTTTCCGAATTTGAATTTACTTTTTCCGAATTTGAACTTACTTTTTCCGAATTTGAATTTACTTTTTCCGAATTTGAATTTACTTTGTCCGAATTTGAATTTACTTTTTCCGAAATTAACTTTACTTTTTCTGAAATTGATTTGACTTTTTCCGAAAATGAATTTACATTTTCCTAAATAAAAGTTACTTTTTACGAAATTGAGGTTGAAATGGTGTAGTGTTTCAAACTCTTGAAAGGAATACAACTATTGTTGCTTGACAATTATTTTTACCTTTCGGCACTCAGTGCGGATACAGGCCCTATCCGCACAGACTTTGAGCACGGAAATGCGTGCGGAAAAGTATTGCTTTGCGCACGCTCGCCGGGAAAAGCTTTTTTATGTCAGTTAGTTTTAATTATAATTATAGCAAGTAAATTTGAACTAGCGGATCCTGAAAGTTAGCGTTAAAACTTGTTCACGAAGGGTTTGAAGCTATGGGTGTCATTATAACATATTTGCATTATTTTATAAACAAAAAGAGATATAAGAAATATTCGAAAAACGTTTTGAGGGAACATAAGAATCATTCGGGTATGCTTAGAAAAAATAAATAGAAATACTTTTAGAAATGGGGTGGCAACAAAAATTTTGTACATATTTTTACCGTACTTCCTATATCATCCTGTATAAAAAAAAACACTCAAATTTATTTTATTTTTTTTGTTTAAAGTAGATGTTTAACAAACAATCGCTTTCAAAAATGGCAAAGACAGCATATTTTTCCGTTAATTTGTTAGAAAGTTGTCGCGTCTCAAAAATTGGTGAAATTTATGCTTGGAACCAAGGGCGTACCCAGCGAGGGGCAGGGGGGGCAGCAGGGGGGGCAGCTGCCCCCCCTAAAATTTTTTATAAATTATAAAAAGGCTCCGCTAAGTGCAGAAAATAAAAAAATCAAAATAAACCACTATGGTTTTACTAAAAAAATTACAAACCCGAAAAATATACTACTAAATACTACTAAAATATATTCATATACCTACGTAAGTCAAACGCAGCGCACTGCACAGCCTACTAGATTTGCAATTAGCGGAATTAGCAAAGAAATATGAATTTTCTATTACGATCCTGGCCCCTGCGAATTTGTTGTATTGTGTTGTTTTTCTAACGGAATTCGATTATTTTCATTTGTTATTCAATGTTAATTTGTTTGTGCAAGTACTGCAAGTAAACTTAATTTACTTAGTTGTTGATAAACGTCTATGCTATGTTGTTAGCAGTTACGTTACACTAGTAAACATTGTCAGAGATTTATATTAGATTGTACTGTAACGAAAATTACCCTGAGTCCGCCTCTGACTCTTCCCGGCCGCGTGGAGAATTCTCGAGACGCAGCGCGAAGCTTCGTACGTGCTGCGGAGAGAATCTTCGAGAAGCAGGCGCTTCGGATATAAAAGGAACAATGTCGGGCGGCGAGGGCAGATTTCGCCAGTGCCGGGTTGAAGAATAGAATACTTTTATAAATAAATACAAGATACAAGGCGTTACATAAACTAGTTAGTGTGTTTAGTTAAATTAATCAGAGTGAATTTTAGTTAAGTGTTAATAAAAGTATAGTTTTAATTAATTGGCAGCTTTTATCACATCGTAGTCGAACAAGTTCACGCTAAAAACGTTACAGTACTTATTGGAAAATCTGCTGAATCTACCTATTTCGGGCATCTCGGTATCTCCACACTGATAAATGGATATCAGGAAATTTTTTCAAACAGGTAAGTTACAGTTAGTAAGTTACATTCGACGACATTTGTGTAATATCTGTAAATTCCAATTAAAAAAAAACAAAATGTTTTTTTCCATGTTACATGTTAAACAAAACACTAACATGGATATCACTCACACTGTATAAAATACTAATAGCGGCATTATTGTGTTTTGCAGCTACTAAAACTCTCAAGAGGAAAAAAGAACATGACAGTAGCAGCGGGAGCGATGATAACAATGATCAAATTTCATCGCCAAGCCCATCTAAAACTGAATCTGAATCTGAGCAACCGCTAAATTCTTTGAGATCTAAGAAAGTCACTGCTCCTAATTTAGAATCTTTACCGTCAACATCTGGCTCTGTAGTCAATCCCGAAATTGAAGAGAATGATGGTTGCCACGAAAATGACTTGGGTCGTTATGTAGGACAAACATTTCACCTGACGATGGAAAGAAAAAAAGAGTTGTTAAAAAATCCGTGGGTTCCACCCAAGAATTACGATTTTGCAGCCGATGCCAGTCATTTGCGAAGAAAATTTAATTATGCTTGGTTAGATCAATACACACCATGGTTAGTGTATTCCAAGCGACTAAAGGGTGCTCTGTGTAAGCACTGTGTTTTATTTCCTCCTTCTACTGGCACAGTAAGGGAAGTGTTAGGTTCATTTATGATCAGACCATTTACGAAGTTTAGGAATATGCACGAAGATTGTCGTAAACATGCCACCAATAACTTTCACAAATCTGCATCTGCTGCTGCAAAGGCCTTTCTCGAAAATATACCTGTGGACATTCAAGTTCAAAGTTTCCACCAAAAAACAATCGAAGAGAACAAGCAAATATTGGCCTCTATTATTTCCTGTGTAGTATTCTGTGGCACACACGATATGCCTCTACGAGGAAAAGAAGCAGATGAGGGAGTTTTTTTCGATCTAATGAATTTGCGAGTTGAGTCGGGCGACATCAAATTAAAGAATCACCTGGAAAAGTGTCGTAGAAATGCTGTTTATACGTCACCAAAAATACAAAACCAACTCATATATTTATGTGGCGAAGTTATTAGGGAGAGTGTGATAAATGATGCAAAGAAAGCCATGTTCTACACAGTTTTAGCCGACGAGACAGCCGACGTTTCAGGAAAGGAGCAGCTATCCATTGGCTTGCGTTTCTATGATGAAAGTTAAAAAAAAGTCCGAGAAGAATTTGTGGGTTTTGTGGAGCTGACAGCACAGGATGCCCCAGCAATTGCCAATGCAATAGACAATTTTTTAGTTAGCTATAATTTTTCACTGCATAGTTGTGTAGGACTTGGTTTTGATGGCTGCGCTACGATGGCGGGCAAAGAGGGTGGCGTACAAGCGATTTTAAGGAAAAAGTACACACGAGCATTATTTTTTCATTGCTCAAACCATAAAATAAATCTTGTTGTCAATGATGCAAATAATGTTCCGGAAATTAGAAACACTATTGGCACCGTAAAGGATGTTATAACCTTTTTCAGGGAATCCACCACTCGCAGAAGTTCCGCTCCTAATCTATCACGACTGTGTGAGACTAGATGGTCTGAAAAATACAAAAGTATTCGCTTATTTGCACAAAATTTCCTCGAAATTGTGAAATCACTTGAAAAACTATCTATCGAAGGAAACTACGCCACGAGAAAATCTGCGTACCAGTTGCATGCCGCCGTTACCAAACCCTCACTAATTGTTGCCCTAACTATAATTGCAAAATATTCAGCTTTACTGGAGCCGGTTGTTAATGCCTTGCAAGCAAAAACTATGGATTTAATTAAGTTGCAAGAACATCTGAACGTAATCCTTAACGTTCTGAAGAAAAACCGTGAAGATGCCGACCTAGTTATTGATGAAGTACTTAAAAAAGCACAAGACTTTGCATTGGAATTGGAAATAGAAATTTCTATCCCTCGAATTACCAAGAGGCAAATACATAGAAACAATCCTCCATCAGACTGTGATAGTGACTACTGGAAGCGTTCGTTAATTATACCGTATCTGGATTCAATTATAGCCTCTTTAAATATTCGCTTTTCTCAAGAACATACTCCAGCGTTTGCCTTAACAAAAATACATCCATTATATATGCTCGACATGGAAACCAATCAAGTAGAACAAAATGCACAATATTTTACCCAGTTTTATAAATTGGACGATATTACTGCGGAAATGGACCTATGGTATAATTTGTGGAAGGAAAAAAAGTCAACTGAGGACCAGCTAAAAGACGTCGAAATAACTGACCTTCTCGACGAGACCGATGTTTTTTATCCCATCCTAAAACAGGCACTTTTGATTTTAATCACAATTCCATGCACCACGGCCACTGTAGAACGATCCTTCAGTACTCTTCGAAGAGTGAAGACTTGGTTGAGAAGTACCATGGGAGAGGAAAGGTTAACAGGATTATGTCTCATGAGTGTGCATCGTGATTTAATTAAATCAAATCGAGAGCAATTTGAAAATCAAGTTTTAAATAAATTTGCGACAAATCCAAGAAAATTGTTATTGAAGTAAAAATTAAGCGAGTTATGTCAAAATTTAGTAATTAAAAAGAGAAATGCAAAATCCATTGTTTTTTTTTTTTGGTCAGCCCCCCCTATTTCAGATCCTGGGTACGCCCTTGCTTGGAACGAACCTATTGTTGAGTAGTTGAGATAAGTAGATTAAAATCGCATCTAGATTAGGCCTTGAAAACTAATTCCATCTATGAAAGACTGGTGGAGGGTCAAGTCTTATGAAAATACATAATTTTTGTTTGCAGATTTGGTATTTCTGGAAGGTCCGGACGTAATATTCAGGGTAGCTTTGGCCCTTTTGAATTATCACAAAGACAAAATTTTGTTGTGCGATAGTTTTGAGGAAATTATGAATTATTTGAAAGGACAATTGACTTCTGTGGACAAACCTACATTAGATAAAGTCATGAAACAGGTAAACTATATATTACATATTAGGGATTATTTTTTCCTGAACAGTTAGGGTTCAATTCTTCTGTTACAAAAAATGGTAGAAACCTACTTACAACAATTATTAGTATTAGTTCATTAAAAAACGCACCCCGATTCCATTTGTTATTTTTTAGATCTACACAACAGACATCACCAAAAGCCTCCACGAATACAAAGTCGAATACCAGGTGCTTCAAGAGGAAATGGCCTCTATGCAACCTCAAGTTGAGGCTCTACATAAACTAGAGGCTCAAAATAAGGTTTTGACAGAACAAAATAAGGCTTTAATGGGACAGTTAGAGCTACATTTAGGTAATGTTCAAAGGCTGGAAAGGACTAGAGTTTTGCAGCAGTCCCAGTTGAATAGATTGGAACAGCAGAGCAGGGGACTGGACGTTACCATTGCAACTTTGGGGATTTTCATTAATAATTTGATTGAAGAAAAGGTAAAGAGTTTTACATTTTGCAGTTTTGTCGAAATAATTGTCTCAGCTTTTCATCAGTAATAAAGTTTTATTTTTTTTACGTTAAGCAACCAACTAATTTCAGAATTGACTTATTCCTTATATTCTTTTTTGAAACTTTCGGCATCCGTTGATCAGTTTTTTTTACACATACATGTTACTTCAGCCTAAAAAATCATACTCAGATTAACTAAAAAAAAATACCTAACGTCTTCTTCAAACCTCGTTTCTAGTAGCTATCCTTCAAAATACAACTATAAAATGTTGGTTTTTTTAGGTCGATATCGAAGTTCCAGACGACGTAAGAAGAGTCGTGTCGCAAATAATTCTATCGGAACGAAAAAAGACCGAAACAAAAGGACAAAACAATTTACTGAAAATGTTACAAGAAAAAGAAAACAATCGTATGCAGGTGCCCGATAGAATTATGGTCAAATCGTTGAGCACCGGGAAAATTAGCGTTCCTCAAGCGTTAGAAGCGATGTCCCGAACAACCAGCTTGAATACAAATGCAGAAAATATTTTAACGCCGGAATTGAAGAGACAAATGCAGAAATCACCTACAGGATCCACAGAGAAAAAGTCACAGTTTTTTAGTAGTTCTCATAGTAATATTTTGGAACAACAAAGGTAAGTCAAGTTGACTATTGTCCGAAAACAGCTAAGGAATCATCTGATTTCCGGGCTTTTTTTCACTCTTCTCATTGGCTGCGAGCTTATAAATCTACTAACACTTAGCTGAGAGATGCGGTAGTGTTATCTACCTTATCCAAGAGAAAACAAAAATATCCTGCCTTCGTTGAGTTTTCTGATATTTTTGTCACTTCATCCCCTACCGATTACAACATCGATTCGAGGGATCAAAACCCTGTTAAAAGATAGAGTGCATCCCTATCCAAAACCTCGAGAAAAAACATAAAAACCTTGCTTTTGTTGAGTTTCCTGATATTTCCATCACCTATTGATGGCAAACCCATTTTTTTTTTCATTTCATTTATTATTATTTATTATTCTAGAAAAATTTATTAAGTTCCTGCTAAAATATGGTGGTGTGCCAAAAGGCAAAACGATCCAAAATCATAAAATTTTCAACCCTTTGATCCCTTCATCCTAGAACATCCTGTAAGTCCCTGTTAAAAGATGGTAATGTGACCATCCAAAATCTCGAGAAAATGATAAGACTCACTTTTATTAGGTTTCATGATATTTTCAACCTTTGACCCCCTACCAATTGCAAAACCACTCTGAGGTAGTACCTACTCTAGAACACCTTGCTAAGTTACTGTTAGAAGATACATTATCCAAAATCACGTAAAAGAGGATAAAAATCTTACTTTTGTTCAGTTTTTTGATATTTTTAACCCTTTATCCTTCACCAATTTCGACATAGGATATTTTTAAATTTGATACTTTGTGATCCACTAGAGATTTTGGAAAATTGGTTACGTTCAGATTAAATATGATCAGTAGTACCTACACTACAGTATAGTACCTATACAATTATACATTGTTCAAAGAACAAACATGAAACTCTCTTCTATGTATTTTCTTCAATTTGGAAATAAGGAGTTTTCCAAGCTTAACCAAATAAGCTTCTCAAAAATTTGATAATCTGGAAAATTACCAAACGTCTTGATCAAAATCATGGTTTTAGTTTACCAAAGCAAAAATCCGAAGGGATCACATTTTTATATATTTATGTAGCCTCAGTTATTATTTTTATTAAAAATAGCAACACTATATCTATTCAGATTCAATAAAGTATTGAATTGTTACTGTGTGGGTAATCATTGATGCTTTTTTTTTAGAATGCACAATAGTCAAACTAGTATTGCGAATAACAGCAGGATAGACATCCAGATTCAAGAATTTGAAAATAATAGAAAAAATTCTGGTACGACGCCTATCGATCTCCCAAATTTAGAGAAAAATGTGTCTCCAACACACTCAATCGGTAAGTTTCACTATTCAAAATACAGTTTTTCTATGCACATATGTTTTTTGATTTAGATATTCAAGTAAACAGCAAAAATAACGAAAAAATTTTCTCTACTGATATATTAGATAACATTTAATTAATCAATAAAAAATATTTCATTTATTCAAAAAAATCTACTAACATGTACCTAATAAATTGTAGGCTAGTGAATATGTCTTGTTGAAATATAATTTTTTTAATAATAATCGTGATGATTCTTGTTTCAGATAGTGGTGTAGGTACTCCACAAAGCCCCAGAATACCAGAAATCCACCCTCTAAGCAATTGCGACGTCAATTTTACTTTTAGCGGCACAAAAGAATTGCAAAATTTAAAAAGCTTGAAACACTATCAACGGAATTCTAGCCCTGACATGTTAGGAAATAAATCGTAATTCTAAGCAGCCTTTAAAGAGAAGTGGGTTGGGTTTTGAAGGGAAAAGTCAGTTAAAGCTATACAAAAAAAAGGGGCAATTTTAAAAATTTAATTTGATATTAATTTTAGCTTGTACGCACTTACTTCTATCATTTTCACATATGTATGTAGATCCTTGTAACTTTATTTTGTGTGATATTAGTTTATAGTTTTGTTAAAATTGCGTTGGGATTCAGACAAGTTTTAGTGCTTTTTTGGCAAATTGGATAAAAATATTAGTGTAAACAATGCCTTTTTTGGTGAAATGTCTATGGCTTGTAACTATAATAATATTATAATGAGTTAAAACACTTTGACATTATGACAAAACAAATAATGAAGATAAAATTAAGGATACTAGCTTCATTGACATAAAAGTGAATGTAATACATAGTTTTAGGAATACAGAAGACCCCATAACGTTAAAAAGTATTAAGACAGATTAATTTTTGCACGAATAGCTTAAAAAGTGAATTTTATCTTTGTTAAATGTACTTCCAATTTACTTAGATATACTTTTAACGTTTATAGTTTGTTAAGCTAGATAAAGTGGTAGTTAGGCATTATTTTGTATTGTTACTCATATTATTGTGATTTTTGTGAAATACTTATTAATAAATAATAAAGAAAACTTTTAAAATAATTATTTCATTTTAGGCCATATTGATTAAAAAAAGAATGTTTACGCAATAGTACTTGAAATTTAGTAAACTGGACTGCGAGTGGAAAATCGCGCAAACAAATTGAAATAGAAATGAAAATGATACCATAGGGTTGTCGAAACACACAAAAGTTATTACCACTCACCTGGGTTTTCTTATAAGCTGTGCGTATATACGGGGATCCCCTGGAAAACGGTTCTCCACAACCACCAACGTATCACCATCGACTTGAGGTACTCAAGGTCCCTTTTTAACGGCACAAGACATAGACTTTTTGAGCGTAAAACACGGAACCGGTAAAAATGCAGCGTGCATATCAAGTACCATTGATCTAGTGTGTGTAAATCCAAATCTTCAACAGCTATCTGCTTCGGCGCAGGATCGTAGAAAATACACTCCTGTGTGTTTTACGCAAAATTGGCATTTAAGTAATTCTTTAATAAGAATGAGAAGAAACCAAAGGACCCTGCAATATTTAGATGGAAATTGGTTACCCGTGATATTTGGATGAAATTTAAATATGTTATTGGGGATGCTGTAAGCAAAATTTTTTACCAAGGGTGCAACCCTGTATATATGACTGGTGGGGCGTGGCTAGCTGTCAAATATTTATTTATTTATTTATTTATTTACGGGCAAGACCCATTAAAAAAAAAAACAACAAGAAACATTAAGTACCTTACAACTAAATAAACATAGGCCAGTAATACTTGGCGTAGTAACAGGATAAAAATACATATAAATTATTAACAGTAAAACATTAAATCAGTTATAGGTATAAGAAAATAGAGGACAAACATAAATAATGACTGATCAAGATGACTAGAAATTCTTAGCTATCGAACTTGGCATCACAAACAAACAAGGAGAATTACATTAGAGAGTTAAGCTCTCTTTTAAAGCTATTTATGGGTCCAAAAAAATCCAGGCTACCATGGGTGTTACCTAATCGAGAAGTTCTGGAGATGAATGTATTGAAACCATAGTTTGTACGGTGATTTCTTTCTGAGAAGGTTATGGCAGAGCGGGTGTCCCTTGCTGGGACGTGAAGCCCTATTCTGGACAGTAGGTATGCGGAATCACTAATGGAGTTCAGTACCTTGTAAAAAGTATATAAATCTCTTTGATTGCGTCTAGCTGCCAAGGGTTGTAGATTGAAGCGTCTGTATAGGTCGTCATAGTCATACACATAGTTCTCAGGCGAAGGAATACCTGCCTTGAAGGCTAAATAACGTACGAATTTGCGCTGCACTAGCTCTAGGGCTCTGATATGATTAGAATACATTGGTGACCAGACAGAGGAGCAGTACTCCATCAGGGGCCTCACCATTGAGCAATAAAGGTATCTGATAGAATCTATGCTTGTAAAATCTCTCGAACACCTCTTAATGAAGCCTACAAGTTTTAACGACCTTGTTGTGATGTCTGAAATATGGGTGATAAAATTGAGACTGCTGTCAAAAATGACACCAAGATCTCGTTGTTGTGAGACAGTTTCAAGCGGAATGTTGTTTATATGGTACGCGAATTGTGGAGGGCTACGACCCTTGGAGAAAACAATGGCTTTGCATTTGGAAGCATTGAGCTCCATGCCGCTCAAAGCGCACCACTCAGAGAGTCTGTCGAGGTCAGATTGTAGTCTGGCACAGTCTTCAATAGAAGAGACCCGGGTGAACACCTTTAAATCATCCGCAAAGCACAGGAACTCACTGTTAATAAAACAAGACTTGATATCGTTAATAAAAACGTTGAACAGCAGAGGTCCCAAGTGAGAACCCTGTGGAACGCCCGATGGGATGTCAATTTCGTGTGAGAAGAAGTTGTTAACTTTGATTATTTGAGTTCTCTCCCCAAGATAGTCGCTAATCCACTTCAACAAAGTACCGGAGATTCCAGCACTTTCAAGCTTAGCAAGCAGAACGGCATGGTTGACACGGTCAAAGGCCTTTGCAAAATCGGTATATATGGAGTGAACTGATTCGCCATCCTCAAGAATTCTTGAAACTTTGTCCTGGTAGGACAGGAGATTGGTTTCAGTTGAGCATTTTGGACGGAAACCGGTCTGCTGCTCAATTAGACAGGGATTGATTTTTGGAGTTAAAAACTTTGTCACTATGCTCTCAAATACCTTTGGGAAGGTGTTTTGGATGATAATGGGTCTGTATTTTGAAATATCCATTTTATCGCCAGATTTATGAATGGGTATGGTGAAGCTCTGCTTCCAGAGTTTAGGAAATTCACCCAAACTGAGTGACTTGTTGAAAAGAATGAAAAGTGGACGGGATAATACAAAGCTACAATTCTTTATCATAAGAGGTGGGACACCGTCTGGACCTGGACCCTTAAAAGACTGCAGGCTACATAGTTCTTCATAAATAACTGATATTGAGATGTTAAATTCATGAATATGTGCATCGCTCCGAGAGATGTCCTGACTAGCAACACAGATTTTGTTGGAATAAACAGAATGGAAGTATTCAGCAAAGAGATTAGCTATCTCTGAACCATTTTTGGCAATGTTGCTATTATAAAACATGTGAGACGGCAAACCATTCGCTTTTCGCTTGGCATTGATAAAACTCCAGAAGTGTTTGAGGTTGTGATCATTCAGCAGTGACATTTCAGAGCGCTGCACATAATTCAGATAGGAGTCCTTTGAAAGAGTCTTACACCGAGTGCGAAGATTCGAGAAGTTGTCATAGTCACTAGGAGAGTCAGTCCGCTTCCAGGTTCTGTGTGCTTCTTTCTTCTTGATTATGAGTTCCTTTAGGTCGAAGGGGAACCATTTAGGAAATTTATGGGTGGAAAGCTTTTTCTTTGGTACAAAGCAGTCAATAGCAGTGTAAAGAATGTCATAAAAAATACTGACCATTTCTGCTACAGTTGGGCCTTGGAGTAAAGCATCCCAGTTGATCATACTTAGATGATCATTGAGAAGTGCATACTCGGCAGATTTAAAATCATAGTAGTACTCATCAGGTTGCGGGTAGTCTGAGTTACACTGCTGGGTCTCGGCACATAATATGTTTAATATTAATGCAGGGTGATATGAATCAATAGGGAGAAGGATGTCATCTGCCAAGGTGCAGGTGTCATCAGGATCCTGACTAAACATCAGGTCTATTGGAATCTTATATCCAAAAGCAGAGTAACTATGGCAGATTTTGATGAACAAAAAATCTATTTCTACTTAGTCGACCAAGTTAAGTCGAAAAATGTCAACCATTTTGACACCTGTCAAAACCCTGCCAAACGGCAGCACTCATCTTTTCCAGTTTTTAATATTTTATGATGTCATTTGACATTTTTAACTTGTATGTAAATTCTGAATTCAAAAATTGAAAAAAAAAAGAAAGAACTGTCAAAATGACATCATTGTGGATTTCATTTGTGAGTGTTTGAGTACTTTAATGATTTCATTAAAGTACCCAAAAAAATCGCCGGTATATAATAGCTATTTATACAATAAGTTACGAAATGAGCGTCTTTTAGGCACGCGACGTGAAAATTGTCCAACGAGGCAAAGCCGAGTTGGACAACACGTCGAGTGACTAAAAGACATCGTTTCGTAACGTATTGTATACAAGATTTTTTCTACTGGCATTTTATAATAAAAAAATACAATTTTATTTCATGTGAATAAGTCGATTACACCCAAAATCTTTGTTACCTGCTTTTACTTGCCACCTGACACTTTTCATGCGATTTTCTTTTGAAAATTCGACATCAATAATTAAAATCCTAGAAAGTAGGTAATAACACAAAGTTCTGTTTTGAGTAACCCAAACGTTCAATTCAGTAATTCCATTTTCAATATTCATAATAAATACAAAACAAAATTCAAATATGTGTTTATTGTGTTTTTTATTTCTGAATAATGAATGACACTTTTAGGCACTAGTGTTTAAAAATTACTTTTACGCACTCATAAGTCACTTTTACGCATTCAAAAGTCACTTTTACGCACTGAGTGCCTAAAAGTAACTTTCACGCACTCAGTGCCTAAAAGAATGTCGTTTCAAAACTGAAATGACAATCGAAAAGTTGCTATTATGAAACGTCAGTAGAAAAAATCCTTTATACTGAAACTACGTACTTTAAAATGAAAATTATCATCTCTGTCAAAATCTGAAACCTGCATATAATGTTTTTTCATGCGTTATCATAAATAAAGAACTAGATTTGATTATTTTTTGCATTAAAGCTATTGACAGATTCTGACAGCTGTCAAAATGTGACGTGCATAAACTTTGTTTAATGTTTTATCACCAATAAACTACCTTAAAACGAGAAAGAACCAGATTAGAGTATTTTTTTCTACTAAAAAAAATGACAGGTTTTGACAGTTCTGTCATTTTTTTTTTCAAATTTTGAATTCAGAATTTACATACAAGTAAAAAATGTCAAATGACATCATAAAGTAATGAAAACTGGAAAAGATGAGTGCTGCCTTTTGGCAGGGTTTTAACACGTGTCAAAATGGTTGACATTTTTCGACTTAACTTGGTCGACTTAGTAGAAATAGATTTTTTGTTCATCAAAATCTGCCATAGTTACTCTGCTTTTGGATATAAGATTCCAATATTTGACAGCTTACCACGCCTCACCTGTCATATATACAGGGTTGTGCCGTTGAAATGCACTTGTGCAGGGAAATAAATGGGAGTGGGGGATTTCGCTGAAAAAATATTTCAGAAAATGTCGTCATAAATAAGGAAAATATATAATTATACACCGTCTTGCATTTATTTATTGAGTTAATTTGTACACAAACAAAATTGGATTAACACATGCAAGACGTTTTCATGGAGGTTTTGGGGATGTTAATATTAGATAGAAATTGTCAATTTTTCAGAGGGGTGAAATATCATTTCACGCCAATTCATTGTTGATTTAGATTTAAGCTTGAATGTAGAATAGCCACTGGATACTGATGCAAGACGTCCTGTGGAGGGATAACGGACTGCAAGACGGAG